TTAGTTAAGACAGATTTTGATGTCAGTCATTTGGAGATAATAAGAACCCAGCATTAGATAAAGCTTTAAGATCATAAAGCATCTGAAACCTTATTTATTTTCTATGAATTTATTTGTATAGCTGGGATGTATAAATAAATAAATACATTTCACTGTGAGTTAATACTTAAACATATATGGTGACGTGCAATAAAGTCAATGGAATTAATGTCACTGACATTAATACACAATTGAAAAGTGAATTAAAGTCAATGACTTTAATACACAGGCCATATTTTCGATGACATAAATGCACTTTCATTTTGTGAATTTAAGTGTAAATAGCAAAATTAATTTTTATAATATTACAAATTCCCCTTTTAGAAGGTGAATTCAATTGACATTATGTCACTTTTGGCCTCTGTCGATGTATTTTATTGACTTACATCCCTAACTTGCTGTCTCCACAGGCAAAAGTTTTTATCTTGATAATGTTATCAGGCAATATATTGCCAATGGAGACCGCACATTGCTTGTATATTGATAATTATTAGATGTGTATAGTGACTTCGCCAGTAAAACTTTGCAGCGAGAGCGTAAACGCAAAATAGGGCGCAAAATTGATAGGAAGAGAAAAATAGCAGAAAACGTTATTGAAAAAGTTATTGAACACAAAGCTAGTAAAAACTTGAAAGTGAATAGTTGTTGCACTGTTTTGACATTTCTGCTGTAAACATTTTAAAATTTATAAATCAGTTTTAAACTCTTTGCTTTACACACAAGCACTTACACAGTCCAGTACATCATTAATATTTTGAATCCCACTCATTTTACTTTCGTTTATGCTTAACCAACTCAACAAATGTCGCCTTTTGACATTTATTCTTCTTCTTCTCCTGCTAGTAAAAATTTAACTCGCAAGAATTTGCAGCTCTTCCGTGTTATTAAGCTCTCGATTTAATGCTCTCTTGCAAATTTGTTGGGTTATGATGCACTTTTCCGGTAAAAATTTGCGGTTCCAGTACAAATTAGTACTGATTATTTGTTATTATACACACCTGTTGCCAGCAATTTGGTAGTTTGACAGCTACATTGTCAATTGATGGAAAACTTCGTCGAGTCAACATTATTGATATTTTAATATAAAAGCTAAAATTAAGCTGTTTTCGATTAAAATATTCGTTATTGTGTACTTAAATGTTAAATAGCAAATTCTCGAAATTTCAAAGACGAAATACGATTTTTCCTAGAAAAATTCGATCTCATTCGAATTTTAGCACCACAAAGTTCGATTTCAAAAATTCGTCATTTTGGAGCTAAAATTCGATTAAAACTCGAATCTCGAAGCTTCGAATTTCGATTTACCCATCCCTACTATATACTATGTGTGTCGTAAATGCAAAGCTATACTTCCGCTCAGCAATGGCCAACAGAAATGGCCGAGCAGTCTACTACTTACTTACATAGAAGAGAAGAATGGATAAAACTGGCGCAGCCAATCAAAAACAAAGTGAGTGAGTTACAACCAAGAGTGATGGAATACAACGAAAGCCGCTTTAGAGTTGCCAAAACCAATGTTTGTTTGTCTATCATTGCTGCGAATAAGGCTTTCTCCACATTGGTCGTCTAAATCATATATAGGAGATTTTCAATGCTCATACCAAATTGTTTAATTAACGATTTTTTTAATACCTACTGACAATTTTCTATTGAACCCCTCATTGCATTTTTCGGAGTTTTTGGCCATTTTTGGCAGACCTATAAATTATAGTTAGTATGAAAAATGTGTTAAATAAACAATTGGGTATTACTATTGGGAATCTCCTGCAGAGAAACAGAGATTTCCGATCGAAAATATTGATTTTTAGGAATTCTGTACCATTTCTACGAAATGTTTTTTTTTCATATAAAATACATGGACAACTTTGAGCACTTTGAGCGACCTCTAAATATTTTTTGATATCGATTTAACTCGAGTGCAAATATCCAATTTTTCACGAGTTTATTTCTAATAAATTTAAACGATATCGACAAATGTACATAAATACACGGTGTCGGTAATTTGAAGGAGAGACAATGGGCGTTTTTCTTTGCCCATTCCAAACGTTCGGAATACATTTTTTCTGTTTACTTATTCGTTGGAATGTTCCGGATAATATGGTACTAGATAATCTAAACGCATTCTTTTCATTCCATCTCTAGCACGGAACTCATAGAATATTCTTTTGAACAGCTGTTTGTGTGCATATGTACTAAGAATGTTAATTTTTCCGCTTTTCCGATCCTAGGATTTTCGGGATGTCGTTATCACAATCCCGGAATCGCGGTATTAGTCCCGTGATTTAGATATTCATTACTTTTCAACAAATTAAATCGAAAAAATTGCTCCTACAATGAAGTAAATAATAAATAAATGGGTTTGAAATCCTACTTTTTATTTAAAGTGGCGTTTTTATTTTTTCTCTCTGATATTATTTATTGTATTTATTTTAAAAGATTTTGTAATTTCAAAGATATGATTAATTCCAAAAATTATTTAAAAAAATCACTGCAATGTAGAATATAAATATGGGTACCAAATGCAAAAGGAAATTTCTTTAGAAATAAAAAAAATTAAATTTTTTTGGATTCCAAATTACGAATAGGTAATTTTTTAAGCTGATAAAGTTAGAACGATGAAATTCGATTATGTTATCGAGTTTATATAAGTCCTTAACATATAATTTTTCAAAAACAAATTTTGCGAAACTTCATGGATACAATTTTAAAAGGACATTTTCAATACTTACCAGTCCTTCTGCACCAAAAACTTGAATCTGTTCAAATTCTAAAGGATTTCCACTTTTATTTGAGTCCCATACGAATTTCCCTCATCCCTTGTCAGGCTTGGTTTGCCGACAAACCGGTTTCGGCGTTCTCTGACGAAACGAACGAAAAATGACACATGACAATGAAGATGGCACAACAAAATGAGATGATGGATGGTGACAAAAATGAGATTTGGTAACCCTGAACTCCAGGCAACGATATTTATGCATACGAATCGTAAAATCGTTATTAAAACAACAGATTTGTAAAATAATATCTAGAGAAAATACCGCCTATCAAGGCAATGCCTTCAAAGAAAAACGTTTTTTTCGCTCTCCTGTAAAATTTTAGTGCCATAAGATAGGCGGTTTTGCAATTGGTCGGTCGATGAGCCGTTTTGCAAATACATCGACGATATGTATGTACATATATTGAGCTAAGTATGCAGAAATTACCGCTACCTCTTCTTCTGTGTTGTGTAAAAAGTTCATAGCTGCAATGATTTCCAATATCTCACTCACTTTAAAGTCGTTTTTCTCGAATTTCCTTTTTTCGAGTTATGACACTATTGAAGTAAATTAGCGATATGTAAAAAAGCAATACATTTTATTTAACTTTAATATTCGGCTACACAAATCGGATTGAGCGAGTGCTCATGAAATATCAAATGGAGTGTGCCTCAAAAAGTGTACAATGCCACAAATTTGCCAAAATTGATGAAAATGTACAAAATGAACACGCGCCAATTTGCGTGAAAATTACCTGTCGACGATAGTTTGAAAAAAAAAACATGAACTATCTGCAAGTTTTTTGCATAAAAATTTCGATTTTTCGAAAAATACCCAAATTCAACTTATGTATTTATAAAAATCTGTCCTTTTCTCTACACTAAACTTTTTAGACTAAAATCCCTACGGGTAGGGAATATTCCCTATATGTGCCAACACTGGCTTAGGGATGAAACGGTACGAGTAAATACAAGTACATACTCGATACTTTTCGTTCGATACCAATTAATATTGATATTGGACCTCGGATTCGTAAGCTAATGAAAGATACTGAATTTTCATCTAAACTAAGTCCGGTTGAACAAAGAGCCTGGAATAGTGGGCAACAAAATGAGTTTCTGAATGCATATTCAGCTATGGGACGTTTTCCCTGAGAACTTGGTTCAGTTCAGTGATGAGGAAAGGTAGCGAATACATTAGGAGATGGAAGCTATAAAAAGGTTTGCTGGAAAAATATATTCACCCTCATTGCGAGAGTCGTGTCGAATGCAAGTCGTTTTACGAGAGTCGAATCGTATCGAAAATTTCACGTCATTGCCAAAAATTTCCACTCGACTAGTGTATTAAAATGGAAAAACTTGGCAGCACTGTATACTCTTCGACGGTTTTCGTCGTTTACTTATTTCAGCACGACATTAGACAATGCGAATGTTGTCGAGTCGTACAATTTAGCCTAATTTAGGACTTACGCAATGAGGCTGATTATAAATATGCCGTCGGACTATTGCTGGTCTCTAAAACGAGAAACGGACGATTTATATACAAATAATTTGTAAACATTTTTAAGTGACTAAGGGCCAAGTTCACAGTACAAAAAATAACAGTACAAATATCTGTAGTTAACTGCCGATTTTGAGTTAACTACACCGTGTGAATATGGCTCTTAGTTGTACTTGTATTCCCATGAAAAAAAAAAATAAAAATAAAAGTATTTAAATAAAGGAACTAATTACATTAGCCAAACCTGAATGGATCTTTAAAATGTACACCTTATTGAAAACAGAACTTACAGGAGACTTTACCTATCTTTAAAAATTTACACCTTATTGCAAACAGAATTTACAGGAGACTTTACCTATAAATTGTACTATATACACTGGCGAAAAAACAGTGGAAAAACCCGTTACTCAACATGAACATTTTTTCCAAAAATTTAAATTTTTTGTATATTTTGTACAGTTTCTCTGCAATTTCTGTAAACAAAATAAGAAATTGACACATCGCTAGAAGTTCTCTTTTCCATGGAAACAAAATCTTTTTCATAGAGTAAACAGAAATAAAGGTATGGTCCAATATATGCCTTCACCTATGGAAAAGGGGTTTTTGGCCCCTAACTCCAGGTTTTGAGGGTGTATTGGAAATTCTGAGTATGCAGTTTTTGTATACTTGACTAGACCTACAACTTGAGATATGTCTCGCAAAAAGTGTTTTTTCACTGTCACACAGTGTAATCGATTTATTGAAATTTATTTTCTTACATACATATATCTGTATGCACATACTCAGCTACATATGTACATAGTTTCTTAATATTCCAATAACACCAATAATATACATACATATATTTATGTGAAAGTGGACAAATATTACATTCTGGTAATGTTATGTAAACTTGTTTATCACAGTTATCTAAAACTCCCGAACACAATACATATGCACGACATCAAAGAGAAAATTAGCTTACAAACTGTGAACAAAACTCAACTATTTCTGAAATAAAATTTAAAATCCATAAAACTACTTAAAATAAATCTTAAAAAAATCGCAAAAAAAAACTAACCCCGACCGATAAAACAAAAACATGTGATTATAAAGTTGAGCATTTATGTTTGCCCCCGAAAGTGAAATTAATGGATACCGCCCACGTCTCAAGTATTAAAATCGGAAACTAGCTGATATGTAGAAACTCGAAACAGCAGCCATTATGGTGGTACTTTGGAAAATGCTTTGTTACATGATACTCGTACTTCTAGTTATGTCTTGTTGCTAAAGGAATTTACATTTTGTAACTCATTAAGGGAACCGCCACTCATTGGTCTTGGGGTGCACACAACATTTTAGCCTAAAAAAATGATTTAGGATAGCTCAAATCCTGTGTTGCTGCTAACAGCGTAGCGTAATTTGTCGCGCAGTGTGGACTTCTTCTGGTAGTTTGGCAATTTCAATAAATTGAAGCAGGTGGATGACGTTGGCAAGCGATTCAGAGGATCTTTCTTGCGTATGGTGAAGAAGCCACGTATGACACTGCCAATAGTGTCTCCAGTGTCCTCGTCGTCACCAACTTCAACGCAGCGAATAGAAAACGGCGGCTCAAGATTGGCAAAGCCTAACAGTGGAGGTTTTGAACAACTAGTTACAAACTGCAAAGAAATCGAGCATAAATGAAACTAAGCATAAATTTATGTATGTGCATAAAACGAAGGAGAAAAATTCCAAACCTTAAGAAACAATTTGCGCTCTTCCTCGGTGAAATCTTTGGCTAAGATGTCCCATAACCAGCCGACGACCCGATGAGAATCGTGAAAGCCGCCATAATACTGTGTATGCTTTCGTAGATCTCGCAGATCTAATGGCACTGTATCGCCAGAAATGAGACGTTGTAATTCAGGAGGAGAAAATAAAGACAACCATTCTGGATTGACAATACTGCGAAACCCACGATTAAAAGCCTGAGTCTGTTCGCGGATTTGTGTGTTCATATGAAAGTAAGCCATATAATGGATATAAACCAGTTTGTTGTGATCAGTGACGGAGCGAGCTTTCCCACCGGGATGCAGCTCATGCGTTACAATCTTTCCCATTACGTCCTGATCAACCGAGAAGGTTAAATTTAAATCAGACACATCTTGCTTGTAGTGCTTAATAAAAGTGAGACTGCGATAGAGTTCGTTGTCCAAAGAAGGCAGCTCATCCATACAAGAGTACAGCGCCTGATGTGTTTGTCCCAAAAGCTGAGAGAGAAAGAACGAAGCGAAAGGAACATCAACAACTATGCCCTCATACACGGCTTTGCCCAACATTCGTCCGACAAACTCAAACAGCTGCAAATGATTGTCCTGCACATATGATATAGGGGAAGGATATAGCCGTTGATCAGAGGTCGTTTTGAATAAATTTAACGACGGATCAAACACTTTCTTGATTGTTTCCTCCAGAAATTCTTTGAAAACTCCATCTTGATCAATACCGGCCTCGTGCAGGCCTTGCTGATTGATAAAACGTACACGAATGACACCCTGGCAGGTAAAAAAATAAACGAAATGCATAAACGTATTCAGTTCCTCTTGAATTAGGTTGTGTTTTGTTACTCACTTTCAATGCATGTGGCCTCAGCGCAGCCAACTGGCGGTAGCCGTCCTCCACAATGCGATCGCGATGCACAACAATCAGTGCGGAACGTGGTGATGCGCAGGCGCTCTCCGTCAAGCCCATTACCGCCTTCTCATTCTGGACGAACTTTCGAAATAGTTTGACACGATCTTCATGTGGAATTATATGGGGCATTTTCTGCAGCAAAATCACTGCGTGTCGTTTAGCTTTTTCCAAATCACTGATAAATGTCGAAGGCTTCACTTCGGGTATAAGCCAATGGTTACTTGGCGCAAATGAGCGACGGCAATCACGTCGATAAAGACACAGCAGCAACGTATGCAAGGATACGAAGACTGGACATTGTGTGACATTTTTTGTTCCTGTTGAAAAAAAAGCTATATTTTTTCCTTAAAGCAGCCTCAATCTTAACAATGAATTGTGATCCTACTTACCTAACAAGTTTTCGTTTATTATTTTAAATAGTATGTTGTTCAGGAAGTAAGTGAGCATCACGAAGTCATTGAGAAGAAATGGTTTTTGTTCGGTATACATTTCATATTCATCTAAAATGCTGTAAAATCCACTGTTGTAGAAAATGTTTGTATTGCTAATATAATACAATGTATACATACGTAACGTAATGAGTCATGCTATCACAAAATAGCATCAACATTGCGATTTGGGGTTTTTTCAAGGCGTTTTCCTGCTTTAACAGTTCCGTAAATTCCTTCATCCCACAATTCGGGCCGAGCGATGTAAGAAGTAGCCACAGATCATACAAAACGTTATCATTGTAACAGATGCCTGGAAAGCCATAAGGAGACAATTTTTTGATAATAAAACAATACCATAGAAATATGTACATATATCTAAACTCAAGATAATAATCTTGGAGGAATGGATGGTGTATCGTATTATATAGTTTTCTGTTTACCTGTTAATATATCTAGCCTTAGTTGTGAAAGCGTATTTAGCGCAGCATAAAACATTGCACATACGCGCGACACTTGTTCAACTTCATTGCCATCCAGCCGACGCCATGTTCTGCTGCCTCTTGTGAAATTTCCTCGTGTTGAGCCGCGATCCAATGCTCGTCGGATTAAGTTGCTAGTAGATGCATGTGTCGGTGGTTGAAATTCTATTCGTTCGTAGGTCGCATTAATGTTTCGAAGTAAGTCTACTAACAAGACCTTGATGCATCGATGACCCCATAGCAAATGAAACTGTTTTTTGATCAAAGCTACATTTTGATTTTGTGCAGGATCCAACGAGGGAGTATGCCAGCCAAGAAGTTCATGCCATTGCGTGAATACTCCTTTACTAGATACTGTGTTGGGTATATTTTCCAGAAGCACAGTAGTTGCATTCTTTTAACAAAAATTTTCAATTAATTTTTAAAGCTATTAACGAGACTATTTTAAATATTGGCTACAGTTTAAGTGATCTGCCCAATGATTTCGGGATATTGTATCTGAATGGGCGACCCGGTCCACACACTTGTAGTCAAGGATCTAAACTTTATTTTCAAACCTAATTTTGTAATTTTCGGTCATTAATTTATTAAGAATTCGGTTTGAAATATGGGTGTTTCCATCGAAAAGTCGACCGCGTAAAAAATTAAAAGTCCTATATCTAACTTATTTATAGGCCGATTTGGCTGCTATTTATAATATACATATACTGGTTATTTAAGCAGAAACATTTTTGCAAAAAATGGTGTCGTTAGGTGGCGCCAGGGTCGAGATACGCGGTAATCTCGAAAACTATTGAACGGATTTGGACAAGATTTTCTCTAATACACTCTGTATCAGGGATGATAAATGAGTTTTTTAATTTTGTACCAAATGACTAAAAAAAAGTGTACTAAATAAGCCGAAAAAGTACCAACATTTAAAACACTATACATATGCGAATGTGATCAATTGTGAATTTTAACTATGTCGTCGGAACGTAGAATGATAACTAATGTATAAAATTGCTTTAACAAAAATACCAAACGATTTCTTAGTTTTATGTAACTTATAATTTGAATGAATGTGACTGGTGGGAAATTGAAAATAACTCTATTTCACCCTTGTGCACTCAAAGATGAACCAAAGATGAAAGCGAAAACACTTAATTTGCACGAACGATGTATTTGTGTTGTGAAATATGAGTTATATGCTTTCGTTTTCAATAACAATGAGGTTTATATAATCTTTATAGAAAATATTTAAAGTTGTGATTGCTGGAACATCTCCTTGTGGCTGGTGTTAAGTACTTATGCATGAAATAAAATTTGCTATATACAAAAATTACAACTTCTTTTGATTTGTTTAATATTTTCCCACAGGTTAATGAAATGTAGTCATTTAAACAGAGGTTACTACTAAAATAGAGATAATTAGGGCATATTTAAATTTATGTAGTTTTCCTCTTTTCAATGGAATGACTCTTATACAAAAACAAAATTCATGTCGAAATTCGATGCTACCCCAGAAATGCGCATGCATGCATGCAATAGTTAACAGTGAAACAATTTCATTCTTCACATTAAAATATAAAGTATGCATACTATTTCTAGTAAAAGTTTTTATTCATATTTATATTGTACTGCCTTCGATTTTTAGTAATTTGATATGGGGTTAGATGAAGTGAAAGGTGATTTGTAAGGATTCCATCATCTTAAGAGTTTAGGAAACCCTGCTTTAAATGTTTGTGTGAAAGATATATTCTACGTAGTAAGGGTTATAATCCCTAAGCACAGCCCAAGACCGCTAACGCAGAAAGAAGCTCTGCGCAAATATACTGTGATCAGCGTAGCCAGAGTTGGACTGAGGAGGGCCGGAAAGGTGTTCTGCGCAAAAATACTGATGATTACCGAGTTTATATTAACCGGTGTCAAAAATTCTAATTTTAGACCATTTTCCAATGGTTGCCAGGTGGTCTGAGGAAGGTTTCGAAGGGTCAGGTGTGACGTTTTACGAAGTTTGAACTATGCTCTTTCTATTGGGTTGGATATCAAGAGCCACACCCCCTCCGCCCACTAACTCAAAAACAGTGGGCATATACATATGTAAGTAAACATTTCCCTAAATATTTACCGTAAAAAGGGGATACGCGAGCTCTTTTGCTTCTAGAGGACTTTCAATTGTAAATAGATTTACAACGTTCGCCAAAAATGCTAGCAATTTAGTTCCCTGAGAAATGTGGGAAGAAAATTAAAATAGGCTTTATTTTTTTTAACAAAGACTCACTGGCATGCTGTTTGTAAATTCAGAGAAAAAGGTTGCGTCATCGGCAGCTTGAAGGAAACGTTTTAGTATCTCCATTGATGTAAGTTGTTCTATGCATTGCGGAGTGATTATATTCAGATGGTACACCAGTGCCGGAACAGATAAGATTTCACCCAAAAATTGAGTGAGTAAATTGCGACTGAAATCGCCATCAATTAGAGGGCGTGTAGACAGAGTCATTATAGCTTTGATCGATACAGGTTTAATGGAAAGGTCTTCGCGTGCTGTGCCTTTTAACATAATCGACTGTTGAAAGAAAATAATTTATGGGAACATAACAACACGTACATATGTATCTTAAAGCCATATCGAAATACATAAAATTTTTCCCAACTTACACGCATTGTTTTGAAAAATCCATTTTGTACTAATTTACCCTGAATATTGCAGCATATTTTCTGTAAAGCGGGTTGTAATTTTTCGAATTGCTTACTTCGAAGAATGCCCCACGATTTTGGCGATGTAAAAACCACCAAAGTGTGCAAGTAGAGTGCCAAAGAAATACTATCTGTATGATTTTCTGTTTACAAAAATTGCAAAAGTTAAATGATTATAAAGTTAAATACTATGCCTACCCGGCTTAAGGTCCTGCAACATTTGACAGCACAGACTGAGTAATGATTTGATGTGCGCCAGCCATGGCAAACTAAAAATGATTCATAAATAAAATAATTGACTTATCCAATTTTGAAGCGGCGTATTATTTCCTTCCAAATCACCTCTTATCTTTATGCAAACATAAAGCTGCGTATGACATTTTTGGAGAATCGGTTTCCATGGCTTTATTTAGATACCGACATAAACATTCAAACCTCTCACGCGACTGTTCACCCTCGAGCGCTTGCTTTTTGCTTTGAAAATACGTGAGGAACCGGCGTACAACAGGATACACAGTTATTGCTGGCATAAGCTCAACATCCTTTTCATTTCCTTCTGCCGCTATCAAATGATCTAAATCGGATCTATGTACATGTGTATTATAGTGAAGTAATCAAGTTATAAGGTCACAAATACTTACATTATTTGATTGTGATACTGCCTACGAGTCACATATCCTTTCCATTGAGCCTGTATTCGCACAGCTGCCCCTTCACGACGTTTCTCCAATGCACGCTCCTCTCTCGCAGCTTTGGTGTGCTCCAAAAAGGATTTTTTTTGCGATTCAGAAGGAACGAACATTCTCTTATCTAAACTGATATGGGAGTTCTGGAGAGACTAGTGTTCCTATCAAATCAATTTTGCATAAACATAATGCTTCCAAGACCGTTCAAATCACATGTTGGATATTCCATTCGGCCTTTTGCTAAACTATTACTCAATTTTTCCTGTCTTCAATGCCTTTATGTGTACTGTGTACAAATTGTATAAAAAATTACTAAATATGACCAGGGCTGCCAGCTCTACCGTGAAGTGCTACATTGAGTGCCAAAAAAGTGCCAAGCAGTGCTGCCAACTCCCAAGGTACAGAAATCCCATTCTCCTTTGAAAAACGCCCTGTTTACATGAACGAAAGACACAAGATCACGTAAGAACAAGAGAGTGAAAAAAGTCGATTTTTTTAGCGGGTTCTACGCCATCTTGTTTCACTGGAAAACGAGCGAAAAGTAAACAAAGCACAGAAAACAACGAAAACCAAAATTAGCCAAAATTATTGTCATCCTTTTTAAACGCACAATTTAGGTAAAATGATGCATCAAAGTGCTTTAAAATGTGTTGTCATGTTAAATTAACTCTTCTTTACTTGAATAAAAGTGTAAAATAGTGGTGCTTGTGATGTAAACAAACGCTCAGCTGACGAACCCGCTTTCGCAAACTTTTTTCTCAAAACCAGTTACAAAAGCAACGTCGCGTTCTTACGTGATCTTGTATTTTTGGTTCATGCCCTGTTTATCCCATTTTAAAATTCGAAAATCCCATTTGTGAATATTATATATTAAAAGTTTTTAAGAATAATATATATATAAAGAGTAGATACAGTGACTCAAACAAATGACCACATATTGATTTATTTAAATATTCGTAAGGTTTATCGAGATAATTTTTTTTTGTATTTTTCTATAAAAAAAACCGTTCGATGTTTAACCGAAATCATATCACAGATTCACACTTCACAAAGCACATTTAGCTCTAAATGCTACTCTTGCAGGTATATTCTGTACGTTACCGAAGATTTTGTAACCGGAAAATTGTATAACCAAAAAATGTTACCAGTTCCTGTCACAGCGATTTCGCAACCAAACATAACCGCAGAACTCCACAGGCAAACATCGATGGCCTACCAACTGTCATTTTGACGAGCAATGTGATTGCAAGTTTTTGTATGTGGGCACTTTGATGTCTTGAAATAAGCATTTGCTGCATGACGCCACCAGACAACATTCTCTCAATTTCGGTGTTTAAAAACATTTAAATCTTTAAAAAACTTGCTGAATAATTTCCTAAAACGTAATCATAAATAATCCAATAAGGAACACACTTTTATTTTGATTTAATATAAAAATTTCATCGATGTTACCACCAGCACGCTTTCTTTCAAATGAAAATATGGCTGTCAAACTATCGAATTGCCTGCAATAGATGTCAAGCAATAAGCGCTGACATATATTGCAGCACATGAGAAATAGGCGGTCTCCATTGGAAATATATTTTGTGACATAGTTTTCACGACATCAGTGTTTTCCTGTGGAGACAGGGCCTAAGGACAAAATTTCGCGAAAAATTCCATTGGAAGGCACTACCGGAAATTAAAAGGATGCACTACCGGAAGTACAGGGTTATAAACATGGGTTCTCACCCTGTTTTACCCAGATTCTCACCAGATTCCGCTGGAAATCATCACTTTTTACCAACACTATAAGAATGCAACCCTGTACAACTTTGGTACGCGACTTGTCAAACTTTTGTTGGACTGGGACTTTCTACGAGTGAGAAAAAATTTCATTGGCTTTAAAATGGAAATATGTTGGTAAAATTAGAAAACAAAGTTATTGGCGAGTCCGAAGTGGTAATCTTATCATCGAAATATTTAACTCGAGTGGAAATGTTTGATAGAAAAATTACTTCGTAAAGTAAGCATATCGCGTCTACATGACGACAGGGCGGATTAATCGGAATACATTACAAAGAAAACGCGATGAAATTATTCAAGGTTTTCACCGAGTGCGTTTTGTGCTGAAATTTTTGTAACAAAGAAATATTACAACAAATTTAAACAAAATATAATTTTATCAACAAAACCAAAGCATAAGCCAACAATACGATAAATCAGTATCCTTAAAAACGAATTGGGGAAAACGTAGATAGACGTTGGAAGAAATTTTGGTATCAAAAATCAGTAATAACCAACATATCTATATAAGCAAACAGTAACAACAACGAAATTAGTGCGTGCTGCAATTAATGTTGTAGTGACTGTGCCTAGTACATAAATACATACATATGTATTTACCAAAGAGCGGAAGTTCAATTTGCGAATAATATTTAGGACAAATCTAAGTGCAATCTTCGAGCGCAGTTTTACGTTTTCCGTTGTTTTACTTCACAGCATGCAAGGTACTCGTCGGAAGCACTGCATTTTCCACCATAGATAAATGGTAACGGCATTTGACGATCGAGGTAAAAGGGAACCTAGGAAAGAACATTTAATACTGCGCCGTTAATGCCAACGCCACTCTCGTCATATTAGAGGTAGAAGTACTATAGCTTTAAGTACTTGCATGTCGAGAAGTCGGTTTTAAAAAGATTTCAGCAAGGCATTGGGTTCAGCAAATGTACACGTATAGGACTTTCAACACATTATAATTGCGCAATATTCCTCTGAAATAATTGGAAACGAAAAAGCAAACAATTCGACGACTTGATCGCAGATCTCTACGTTTTCCATAAAAATCGTTTGCAATATAATAAATGCTAAGTGGTGATCAAAAGAAAATATGCAAATAACGTCAGAAAACGTGTAAATAAAATTTGCCAAATAGTCGTACAAACACCTTAATTTGCGGACAAAGAGACACTAACAGACTGCCGCATATACAATATACAATACAATCACAATCTCAAAAGGATGACTTTAATTTCCTGGAGAAATTAAAAAAGGCGTATCATTTGCTAAATTATTTTGACAGTCATTAGCAGTCAAAGTAAGTATTGAAAATTTTCCAAAATTTAAAATGATATTAGAAATGCAAACTGTATTAGCCGCAAATCTTTCGGGGCGGCAAACAAATAAACTGTATATATCCGTTATTTATAGATATATGTACGTACATACATACATATGTACAAATTGTCTTTATTTGAACTACATACATAAATATATGTATTAGATTTATTTATTTGTGGATAAAGGTGTAGATGTATAAGGGATGCCATTGTGGCGCGCAAACTATTCTCATTATTCAATTTTAGTCCCAACGATTTAATTTTAATAATAAAAAAGTAACATTATAAAAAGCATAGCAAACTTAAAGAGTGCAAAATGCGATGCCTCGACAAGTTAATTTTATCAGAGTGCGAGCGGTATCACTGTTTGTCGTTCATTAGATAAGCGCGATTCGATCGACGAACAGCAAACAATCGAAATTAACTGCGCCAGAAAAATTGGGGCGAAGATCAGCCACTGCCGTTGTCGAACACTGCTACGGTTGCAAAAATGTTGATCAGGAAAGTGTTTATGTATTCATTTTTGTTTTTTAAGCGCTAGATGTGTGTAATTCAGCACAGTATTTTTTATGCTAATCCCCAAAGCGAACCTACATTTTGTATTGAGAGGCAAAAAATGCATCTGAACATAAACTGGTTGATTTTGTAGGAATAACGTCAATTCTAACCAAATTTTATTAATCAATCAATTAAAACACTAAGATTATCTGAATATGCAAAAACATCTACCTTGCATGGCGAAATGTTGCATTTACACACAATGTTTTATCTTTGAAGCAGTTATAACTAACTAAAAAGACGTGTGTAGGCACATTCGTTATCTAACCTACCTTTAGTTACTCAACAAGTTCACAAAAAATCGGATCGTATTGATTTTAATGGC